ATAGGTATAAAATAAGTACATCATTAGATAACTAAAGCTATGAACATGTCAGTATAACTACAATCTGTTCTTGTAAATATGTTGTCAATATAAAACATTCAAGATTATCAAATACTATCTTAGATAATCTCGTTTTTTTTTCAAAGTAGAAAGGCAAATAAAAAATAAATAATCATGACAATGATAAAAATAACAACAACAACAACAGCGGTAAAATTAACAGTTACATAATCAAATTAATTTACCATCTGTTGGAATATACCTACTCAAAATAACCGCATTATCAAAAAAAAATGATAAAAATAAAGTTACTGTGAAAAACATTTTTTGTTAATGCGGGCATTTTAAAAACTTCATTTTAAAGTAAAGCTAATAAAAAACAATTCAAAACAAACAACTAAACAATTACATCCCAGTAAACAGGTTTTTTTCAATCAAATAGAAAATGATAAAGCAAAATGGAAAAAAAAATACTCAAATAAAAAAAACATTCAGTGTGTTCAATTGAGAAAGAACATTTTGAAATCAACTGAATGAATCATTAAATAATTAATATTAATTAAGTCAATTGTTAACCAGATTAACCTGCTAATTATTCATTGACAGAATAAATCTTTAACTGATTAGATAATATATTTATTAACGTTATATAGTAATTATAGTAGTTTAGTAGACAATATGTTAGATTTTTAAAACGAATGGTACTGAGTTCAGATTGTGCAGCTAATATTAACATTAAGATTGATATATTAGTGTACTGCATGAATAATTGGCAATTCCAACTTCTATATTATGAACGAAACTATTATGAAATAACTAGTAAATTATTTGGAAAATATTATTTGTATCAGAAGGGGTTTTGTGGAGATTGTAGTAATTTCAACAGTTGAGATCATGAGTCACTTGAAGCTAGACCACCATGGAAACCCTGGAAGCACTGGACGGCCGGTTCGTCCTATTGTGGGACTTTTCAGCAGTGCTCATTCACGACCCCGCCTCGCGGGATTCAAACCCAGAACCTATCAGTCTCGCACCAGGCGCTTAACCAACGATACCACTGAGCCGGCATCCAACTGTTTTAATATCTAACTGGAGTTCTAGTGAGAAGTAGTGACCAGTGGAGTTCAACGGGGTCATTTGTGAGGTAGTAACCCACTGATGACGGTGGTGGAACTCCACAAAACCCCTTCTGATACTAATCAACATATGCTCACTAGTGACTGGCTTCAAGAGACATATCCTGGAGTTCTAGTAAGAAGCAGTGACCAGTGGGGTTCAACCAGTTCAGTTGTGAGGTAGTAACTCACTGATGACAATAGTGGATGTGTCCCTCAATTTCGTGGATTAGTTGAAGTTAGACATTAACACCTTTGGATGCCAGCTCAGTGGTCTAGTTGGTTAAGCGCCTGGCGCGAGACTGATAGGTCCTGGATTCAAATCTCACGGGGTGGGGTCGTGGATGTGCACTGCTGAGGAGTCACACAATATGACGAAACGGCCATCCAATTCTTCCAGGTTTTCCATGGTGGTCTAGCTTCAATTAACTCATGATCTTAGCTATTGAAAATATTATTTGCAACTAACACATAAGATCCTGATTAATTGCTTTTCCATAGTTTAAAGATTATAAACAATACAAAATTCAATATTACGAGATTATTATCGTTTTCATTAAAAACTTCGAATTCTACAAGTTAACCTTAGTCTTGCTTAATTGAAGATCGAATGCTATATACATATATATATGGGAAATCTTGAGTTTCACTACCGTTCAATTTTTTCAAATAACTGTAGAACGTCTATGCCACAGAATAAATACACTATCAAATAAAAATTTATTAATTTATAGCGTTACAAGTACAGCCTTTCTCTAATAAAATAATTGAAATTCTCACAAACATTTCTCCTATTTTCTATACACACAAATTAAGATTTACGCGTAATAATCATTGCGTGTTTTATGTCCAAAAAAAGTAAAATAATGAAAATGAGAAATAGTAGAAAACACAATTTATCTGATTATTAAAGTGTGATGCATATTTTGCATGAAATTTTATTCCTTTCTAAAGAAAACAAACTAGTTACAATGTAATATCAGTTCACACGAACCAACTAACACATCACAAATAAAAGTGTAATGAATAATATCGTAAGCATATTTAACTATAAGCTTGATTGAAAGACTCCGTTATAACTTATACGTCAATTGAAATTGCTGTAAAAGGAACATAACTCAATCATTACTAATATCTTATGTCCAATAAATAAGAATTTTAATAGTTGAGATCATGAGTCAATTGAAGCTAGACCACCATGGAAAACATGGAAGCACTAGATGGCCGTTTCGTCTTAATAGATAAGAAACTTTTTTTGTAGCTTACTATGTGTGCTGATATAAAATAGACAACGAATGAAAATCAGGAAGCACTGGACATAGTTTTCATTCCACTAAGAGACTCCTTAGTTGTAACGATCCATAACCACATCAGGAATCGATTTCTAGATCCTTATGACTTACATCACGTTTAATCCCATATTAGAATGAAAAACTCATTCAGTACTTCCTGGTTCTCTAACTAAGACCAATTAATGATAACGACTACAAAATCCAACCACCTCGACAAACTCTATCTAATAAAGTGTTATCAGATAAAAGGACAACCAATCAATACAGTTCATAAAGGTCCTTTGTAATTTAATTAACCTTATTTGTATACTAAATATGAGTTCATAATAATGTAATTCAACATTCCTTACACAAAACAGGTTTACATAAATAAACTTAATTTGAAAGAAACGCCTTCATTTGACGTAGACGATCTTAATCTCATTGCCCAAAAATACACTTTAGGTTTGTGAAGACGATAGACAAAAACTGTCAATTTTTCAGTCTATTATTTTAGAGATTTTACAATTCAGTAAATTCTTTCCCACATAGGCAATAAGTATAAAACTTAGGCTATCGCAATATTTAGTTTTAGATAGATTTAATTTCAACCAAGTTATTTTCAAGTGATTGAACAATTTTAGTTCGATTTGTTTTAATTTCCTTCAAAATATTTCAAGTGGATCAGACTAAACTGTAACATTATTCACTTTCGCTTTGAATATACGAAAACTAATCTAAATATTATGTGAAGTTAAAAAATAGAGTAGACTTTTAGAAAACAGTCAACCTGAAACAGAGCTATACGACGTTTAACGAAATAGTTTGATCATATGAAGATACCTATAATGAACTATAAACAATAACACAATTTTTACCATACTTCTCATACTCAGTCAGTCAGTAACAACGTAGAACTTCGTATGTGCGTACATCAGTTCGAGTTGCCATACAAAATTACCACACAGATACAATTGCCGACTCAAATCCCATAGTGGTAGATGTAGTAACAGCATAAACACTAATCAGAAAGATTAGAGTTTGAAGATGCTTTTCACGGAGTACATTCTGGTGAAATAAATTTGGAAAGAGAAAAAAGAAGGGGACATGAAGAATTCAAAGGATTAGAATTTGGGAGAACACAAAGAGTGGATGCACCTGCACCGTTGCAAACGACTTTCAACCATGTCATTCAACGTCTCTAACTATCGGTTGTTATCATCTCGCGGTCCCAAACCAGGTAGTCTACACCTATCAACATGGCTCAGTCCACTTGTCAGTGACTTCATGGACTAGTGCCATGTTTTGGTCTGGCCGCTCCTAGCTTTCTTCCAACCTAATCCTACACCATAAAACATTGCACATCGGGGCAGTCAGTGGTTGGGCATACGTAACACGTGTTCCAATCATTCCAACTGATGAATCTTCACTGCTTCATCAATTGATTTGCCATCCATACCTAGTACCCGATTCCTAACAACTGTGTTACTTACTCGATGGTCCCATGATATACGAGCAATGTTTCGAAGACACTTATGATCGAATACTAGTAACCTACAAATATCCTCTGCTCTTACAGACCATGTTTCACTGCCATAAAGTAGGACGGAACGATTTGCTGCACAGTAACCTCCTCCTTTGGTTGATAGACGGATATCTCGCCTACTCCGTAAATGACGCAAGTTGACAAAAGCCAGCCGAGCCTTCTGTATCCGGGCCGAGATTTCGTCGCACACCTGACCAAGATAATTGAAGCAGTCGACACGCTCAACTACTTCACTCTCTATCATTAGTTCGAGTGTCGATGCAACCCAATCCTGAAGCAACATTTTGCATTTCGATGGGGAGAGTCGCATGCCGAACATGCTTGCATTGTTGCTTAGAGTGGTCAGAAGACTCTGCATTTTGTCAGGGTCTTCACCAAATAGAACTATGTCATCAGCATATTCTAGGTCAAAAAGTGAACCTCCCGGTAGAAGTTCAACCCCTGGAAATCTAGGTGAGGAACGTGTTATCACTAAAAGCAAGTCAACGAAAAAGTTAAATAAGAATAGCGAGAGAGGACAGCCCTGACGAACACCACTTGAGGTAATCAATTCTGATGGCAGTTCGCCATAAGCTCTCACTCTACCAGTTGTGTTCGAGTAGAGATCCTTTACAAGGTTAATGTACCTCTTTGGTACTCCTTTCAGTGACAAACACTGCCATAGAACCTCACGATCAACAGAGTCGAATTCCGCCTTAAGGTAGAGATATACTACTATTGTGGGGAGTCTGAATGTGTGTCTATGTTCTGTGACCTGACGTAGTGTGAATATGTGGTCTATACAACCACGTCCAGGCCGAAAACCAGCCTGATTTTCTCTAGTCTGCTCTTCACGTGCTTTAGATAGGCGTCGAAGTATTATTGAAGCTAATATTTTAGACACTATATTAGTCAAACTGATTCCTCTGTGATTGTCACAAGAGGACTTTTGTCTTTTCTTATAGATTGGCACAATCAGTGATTGAAACCAGAGTCAGATAGGATTACGTCCAGTCCCCAGATTCTAACTATACTTCTCATACTACTATAAGCCATTTATTAAACCCTTTTTAAAAAAGTGAAATATTGTGTATAAATATGACCATTTATTTTAAAGTTCTTGATTGAAAATTCATTCAGTGAAGTACTTACTTCTCTCTAAAATTGGGCCTCGATCAATTTGAAAATATAAAACGATAACTAATCTTAGCATTTCAAAAAGTATGCAAGAACTTTCTACTTGAAAATTTGTTTTATTTATAAATAAAAACAACCAACAAGTCTTAATTATAAAAAAAGCATCAAGATGGAAAAGAACGATAACTTTACAAAATATATATTTCTATGACATTTGACTTTATTATATTCTGCTTACATACAACATACAATATTTGCACATTGTATCTTTTGTATTTTAGATAAAGATTCGTTTAGTTTCTAACTAATTCTTTTACTGAAACTATCCAGTATTTATGATCTTTTTAGTTGACTTTTATATCACTTAGTTTGTAATTTATAGACAGAAACAATGCCAATGAAGTTTAACTCGTTATTCGTCTATAGAATGCGGTAGAGAAAGAGAAAAAACAAAACAATGAAATTATACAAACCGAAATACATCCTTTAGATGATATATTTTTTTTCAATTAGTACAAAGTCATATATCATTTCATTCACAAAATAGAATTCATAAATATAATCTGTGCAACGCAAAATGCAAATATTTTCCGGTATATTGGAGGAAAGAGTTGAAAAAATCAAAATATTTATTTTAAGATGGATATACGCCAACTTATTTGTAAAGAAATATAATCAAAACTTTCTAGTCAGAAGAAGAATATGAAGACTACAAAAACAACATGGTAAGAGTAGTATTAGTAGTAGTAATAGCAGTAAGTAGTAGGTTAGAAAATAACTTTTAAAAAAATGGTTTATGTACAAATTTGACAATCGTCGAAATCTAATCAGAAGTATCAGAAGAGTTTGAATCCGAAGAAGAAATTGGTGCTTTACGAGAAACTTTCTTGCTCTTGTGTTGTTTTTTATGTTTTGTTTTATGTTTTCTTTTGCTGTTCTTTGTTTTTTTATGTTTACCGGAATCACGATTGACAAGATGAGATTCCTAGAATGAAATTAAAGGAAAGTAAAATAATAAACAATTATCTGGTTTCTTTTTCAATGTAAAGTGATGACTAAGTACCCAAACTATTAGACCTTAAGTAATAAGCCATAGCTCACAAACCAAACCCGGCAACTTCGGTACGGACACACCGATAGTATCAACAACTCCTGTGCACTGTGGCTCATAGGCGAGTACATGATAAACCAGCTACATTAAAATCATTAGTCTATTTTGCTTTGTCCACTGTCCCAATTCATCCTTTCGTAATAATGTGGTGTGGAGACTTAGTTCGATGGATATGTGTCTTAAGTTCCACAACGCTTATCACTGATAGATCACTCTACTGCATGGTAAATAATACAGTAAAGGATCTATATATATTGTATTCATACATGAGTGTGTGTTGATCAAACACTAGTCACCTTTCACGATTAATAACAACTTTTCTTCACAGACTGAACTAAATTAAAACATTAATTCACTTGATCTTATAATACAGTCTCCAGAAATCATACAATTAGGTTATTATCGATACTCGTACTTAAATTTTACTGACAACTCCATCAACACAATGATAATAAGCTTATAAATTTTAAAACGTTTTACTAACAAGCAGTTTTATTAACGCAGGTAAAATACAAAATACGTTGGATGTTAGTGGAGTAATTTCACTTACCACAAATAAAATATCATCTGACAAGGTAGAACATGATGCTTTTTCTTGATCTTTTGTCAACGAAATTAGATTAGCTTTATCAGATGTAGGAGCTAAATAAACAATGAAATGAAACATTAGAGAAAAGAAGATACGATGGTTTTAAACAGAAACTATTCGAAAATCTCATAAATAAGACTTGGAAATGATTCAACAGTTTACACGAATAAATATTTTCAATAACTGGTGACCAATGTACCTATTTAGATGTATATTGTATTTACTGATGGATAGTTTAATTACGTTGTCTAACACTCTGGCAATGAAAAATTCTACACTGTTGTTATCTTATAATATAAAATGATATTTGTATATGGTATTTCGAAAATACAACAGCCATAGAAAATAGAATGGATTATAGTGCTTAAGCTTAGAAGAAATACAAAAACTTACCAAAGGTTTTGATTTATCTTAAACAAGCTAATCGTTAAGAGACTGAATTAAATGTGACGCAGTTTAATTTGATGATCAAGTACGATCTCATGTACTGATCCTCTAGTATTATGTCTGGTATGAACTATCAGATAATCCAATTACTCATTCGACGTTGTAATGAACCAAAACACAGGTTGGGACAACCGATTTATTAGTTGACACAAAATTACAGAATCTCTTGATAAAATATGAGAACCATACACTAAATACTTCATCTGCGAAATTCTATCATTTGTCCTTCACATTCTATATGATTCTTCCAATTCACAATTCCTTTCTATTTTTGTTGTCTTCAAGTCGACCTTCATAGACTTCTACTGACAGGTTTTCCACGTCTGAATGGTGTAACATACTATTTATGTCTGTTGACATAAACAGGTATACACCACAACGTTATTATGAATGAAAAACGAAGTTAAAATTTAAAGATTTCATTGTGAGATTTGTAAGTATTGACTATGTAAGATGATAACTACAAAAGGATATTGCACTAGGAATTCTACCACTATTCTCGAGGACCTAATCATTAGTTTCAATAAATTATTTAACAAGTACTGATTACTCTTCGGTTTCCCGTTGAATAAAGTCTGAATACAGTTATTTCACAATTTTTTAGTTCTGATGAACCAGAAACTAACTGAAAATAGTCATTCGAATACGCCAGTGTTATCCAGATAAATATAAGAAAATTATAAACATAATCGAAAACATACTAAAATTCGGCGGTAAATCCGGTCCATACAATAAATCCGGATTGAGATTATTCTGTGAGGAGGTATGAACTTTGGACGATACTTCAGGTCGTGTAGTCATCCGTGTTAAGCCGGATAATGGACCACCTAAAATATTAAGGTAATAAGATATATGAACCAGTTAATAGATTACCGTAAATACAAACTTACGCATATCTCCATTCGGTTCAAATAGGTGTGAAAATAATGTGTGTGCTTTGAATAAATCAGGCTGATCTAAAAAGATAAATAAAATATTCCAGATAACCAAAAGCAGGATGTCTCGAAATTACCATTAGACAGTTCAACGGAATTCGATTTGATAACTCTCGATACGGTTAAATCATCTTTTTCAGGGTCTTTATTGTTAATATTATTATCATCAACGTCGTTATCTGATAACGAAGATGAACTCAATTCTTCATCAGATGCAAATATTGATTTGAACAAATCCATTGGAGGCTTATCTGTATGATCAGTAAGAACATCTATGCCTATTTTCGGAAGAGCAGGACCCATAACCCGTGCATTCTAGTAAACAAAAAGTACAAATAAAACGTACGTGATTATTTTGTAAAGTGTATTAAGGAGTCCTTATTTCTTATGTCAGGATATTAAAACACGTTACATCAATACTGATCACGAAAAGAAGGTACTATTATTGACTTATAGTGTTTTTATACTTATTACCTATTTATTTAAACACAAACATTGGTACAAGGAGGCACCAAATACGTATGCACCGCACAAATCATATGATTTTTGTGAAGGCTAAGATACTTCTTGGGTGCCCAAAATGAAGCAGGTGGTTTTCTTAGGGAGTCACTTCCCGCGCCCTTGACCTAGAGGTTTAATCTACAGGGCAGTGGAGCAATGTAAGGAGATTGAGTCTCATGGTAGCCAGTGACCAGCAATAGGTTCATATACCGTTTGTTCCTTCAGGATCCTGGAGCCCACGTGCACCACTGGTTTGAAATCAGGGTTTTCTAGCAGTCCTGGTTGGATCCTTTATATCTGACAACTCGGTTAAAGCACCGAACTTTCGCTTTTTGTCATCTCGATTTCGTGAACAGCACTCTAACCGCGAGAAGGCAGTGAGTGGGACTTCCTTTGCAGTGGCTGTAAACGCGTGGTCAAGTGAGAGCATTTCGAGAGGGAGAGCTGACTTTCCCCACTCTCGCTCGTACCATGGTTTTTGGAGGAGTTTTCATACTAAATTTGTACATAGTCATACAGTTAAACTGATAAAGTTATATATGTGATATATGTTATTATTTTGTTCTTAACTCAAATGATAGGACTATTTTAACACATGTTCAACAATTCATTTCAGTCTGTCGTCATTAACGTATGACCTGGTAAGAACGGGTATTAGCCAAAGTCCTTATATCATATCGGCACAGTGAACGAAATTTAACAAGACGAATAGCTAACTATTCGAAATAATGGTATAATGTCAGTGACAGTGAGGAAAACTGAACATTGGTAAATATGTTTCAAAAAGAAGATATGTATGAAAAGATACTTAAACTCAAAACTTATGGGAAGATAAGGAGTGAATCCAGCTGCGTCAATGGGACCGATTTCAGTACTTGGAACCCAGTAAGATGCCTAAGACAAAGTCAGTGATTTAATAAACTTATCCTATGTCTTGGTTCGACTGCTACTAGCTTTCCTCCAATCTACACTTAAAGTAGTCATCATCACGCGTCGAGGTAGACGGTATATGGGAATACTTAATATATGTTACAGCCATCTCAGTTGATAAAGTTCACAGTCACCATACGCGAGTAATTTTTCGAAGACATCGATGAAGAAATAGTAGTAACCTACGAATATACTCTACCCTACAGTAGATACCATTCCAGAGAAAGGAAAACATCAATACACGATCAATATATAATCTTAAAGGTAAGATAAAAAAAGGTATTTGAGTTGATTACTTCCTTGACATTTTAACTCAATAAATACTACATTTTAAAGTATCATCCATTAAAGATGTCTAGCTTATGTAAATGAGAAAAAAGCAGTGTACGAAACACACAAAACAAAGAACACTTTTAGGAAGAAAGAATTAAATTATATAGGTGAAGAAGTAGAAAATAACATTGAAAGTCTAGATTTAAACAAGGAAATGATACACTTGTTAGTGCCATTTTAACCAATTTTGAGATAGATCACTATAGTCTTCAATCAGATAACCGATAAGAATATGTCATGTAAGGTTTAGTGCAAGAATCAAAGGTACTGGATATTAATAAAATCTGTAGATAAATACACTATAAATGATAATTTTTGAGCAAAACGAAACTTACCGATTCATTCACAATCTCATTGGTAGTATCATGAGAAATTTTATCTGATGGTTGAATGTTTTCTAACAAACTATTATTATTATTATCATTTTCCACAACATTGTCTGTAGTTTCGGTTGTTTTACTCTGCTCAATAGATTGAAACAAAGTTGCGAATAAAGCTTTTCCACGAGACTGAAAAGTTGTACCACTCAGGTTAGGCCTATAGGGTGTATTACTGGCAGGAAGTTCTGACATAGTACCAGAAGGATCGTTGCTGTCACTGTCAGAAGAATTAGACTCGTCACTTAATTGTGGTTCACAGGAAGTAATATTCGAAGAGTTCAACTTTTGAATTGAGCCAGTAGTGTTAACATCCAATAGATCGAAAATAGAAAACTCATTTGCCGTGGAACTATCAGAGAATCTACTTTTTCCATGTTTACCAAACTTTTGACGAAAAGGATTACGAGGACGTCTATCATCTGGACAGCCGACAAAAGTGGAACTATGAAAGAATGAAAGAAATTATTGTGTAGATTTAACAAACATTTAGCTTTTATTCATGCAAATCATTTTAAAAACCTCAAGGCAATTTTCCAAATAAGGAAAAATTTGAAAATAAGACTAAGTGAACATTTAAAAAAACGAACTGAAATAGGATACACAGTAGAATATCATCAATGAAATAGACTTCTATTATGAAATGTGATTTTATGAGCGAATGAGTTAGGTGATTAAAATGAATAAATATGACGCTGATAAATAGAAAATATCTAATGACACAGTGTGGTCAAGTGATGACTACCCATGAGACTGAATTATTGACGCAAGCTTACAGTGAAATTGATATCAGAAAACAAGACAGTTGCCCAACTTAATAGATTTTTTTCTTCTGACAAAATAACATGCTTATATGACGAGCACAAGAATAAACATGCTTGTAAGTTGCTCAACAAATAAATGAATAAGGAATATGACAACTATAAGTCATTCGCTTTTCAATGGGATGTTGAACTATTAAGCTTAATTCTTGCCCATCATGTCCAGTTCAAGGTCGATTTCATAAAATAATTGTGACATTTTTTATATAGACAGTTTCATAGAATACCTTCATATGTAGTTTTGACAGATTAATGTTAATTGACTAAAGCATTCAATACAGAGTGACATTATTATTATTATTATTATTATTATTATTATTATTATTATTATTATTAACAATTGTTGTTAAAAGCATCACTATTAAACGAACTTTTTACAAAGTAGTTTGCTCCCTTTTCATATTAATAAGTATGAATTACCGACACTATTCACCCTTATATAATTTATCACTAATAAGTATTTTTATCAATCAGTCATAACCAATGTTGAACGTGAAACATATATATCTCAATTCAAGTAGCCATATTCCATTAGCATAATGAAATGAAATTATTTAGGTAAATCTCAAAATTCTAGAGATAGTAACAGTATTATTGGCAATAGAAAGATTAGGCATCGAAGATACGATTGGAAATGAAATTTGGATTAGCGCAATAAAAAAAATAATTTATGAGATAAGTTAGGAAATTAGAATTTAAGGAGACATAGAGTGAATGCACCTATGTCGTTGCGAAATATTTCAAGTCACGTCACCCAAACTTTCTGACCATTGGTTATAATAATCACATGAACCTCAACCTGCCTACAGTCAGTGACTCGAAGGACTGATACCATGCCTTGGTTTGACTGACCGTAGCTTTCTCCAAACTTACTCTTACACCAGCCCGTCGAGGTAGTTAGTGGATAGGATTACTTAATACATATCCTAGCCATCCCAGTCAATGAAGATTCACTACATCATCAATCAGTTTGCCCTCTTTACCTAGTACTCTGCAACTAACCTCATAACTAATTAGGTAGTCTCAAAATGTAGGAGCGATGCCTTAAAGATACCTATGATCAAATACTAACAATCTACGAATATCCTCCATCTTTAAAGACCACGTTTTCCAGCTACATAGTAGAAGAGAGAGTGTTGATGAGCAGTATACTTGTCCTTTGATTAGTCAATGGCTATCTCGCCTTGGCAATAAGTGAAGTTGGCAAAAGCAAATTGTGCTTTATGAATTCATGCCCACCACGGTTGAGATTTCTGAGAGAAATGGACTGATCGAAACACTCAACTATATTCACTTCAAGAGTCTGAAGAAAATATGTAGCTTAGGTGGAGTTTTTTTCTCTGAGCTGGATGATTTCGTAGAATCGTATGCTGATGATGTCGTTCAGAATAAAGATGAAAGCTTCACGACCAAACCATCCAGCTCAGAGAACAAAACTCCATCTAAATACATTCAATTCCGATCATTAGTTTAGGCGTTGACACAGACCAGTCCAAAATAACATTTTGTATTTAGTAGGAAAGAAACAAACTCCAAACATACTTGTATTATTGTTTAGGACGATCAAAAGACCTGGTATTTTATAAACGTTCTCATCAAACAGAACCACATCATCAACAAGAGAATTTTAATGGTTCCACTAACTATAACAAATTTCTTCTTAATAAATAAAATCAACTCAATAAAAAAAATTGTTTCAATTGAAAAGCTAGAAAAATATCACACATTTATAATCATCTACAACATCTTTGCATAATAATAATAAGTTAATTACTATTATATAATAATGCTAAATAATGGTTGACCCTCTATGGATAACTGGAAAACTTTACAATAAGAATAAAACAATGCTTATTTAATTTACAGTTTAAAATAAGGTCTGTGTCAATCAATGTATCATTTCATTAAAGGTCATATAAGAAGAGAATTACAGGTATTCTTCTTTAAACAAAACAAAAAAAAGAAACAGTTGTCTTTTTCACACAAAGTGGTAATAGTAAATATTATACATCATAAATAAATAAAAATAATAAAAAACATCAGCTTGTAACAATAGTAAATAGTAGTAGTGGAACAATTTTAAGTTGTTAACTTAATTTATTCTTTACAGTTGGCCTCCATTTAAGGTATTTAAACAAAGCAAGAACAATTGAATCAGGATTATATGTATTCACTATATGTTATGTACACTATTCAGTTGTGTTTTAGATCTAACCTCAAATGACCTTGTACATATACAAATAAGGTTGTAAGGAGCTGAAAAAAAATCTATAAGATGTATAACGAACATTAAAAACCTGGAAGCATTGGATGGCCGTTTCGTCTTAGTACGGAACTCCTCAACAGTGCGCATCCACGAGCTTGTACAGGCGACTCGAACCCAGGACCTTCAGTCTCATGCGCGAACGTTTAACATTTGGATGACTGAACCAGCATCTGATGGTGCTAATGTCTAACTTCAACTAATCCACGATATTGCGTGACCATCTTCTACTGTTTTCGGTGGGTAACTGCATCACACCCGTGACTGTTGAACTCTACTAAGATGAAATAGCCTTCCAGTGCTCTCAGGTTTTTGATGGTGATCTAACATTAATCGATTCATGATTTCAATTAAAAAAAGGAATAATTAGGAAGCGTTTAGAATTTCATTAAAACTATGAGCCAATTCAAGTTAGACCAACATTGAAAACCTGAAAGCACTGGATTTTCGTTTCATCCAAGTATGGAACTCCTCAGCAATGTGCATCCACAACCGCACGTGCGTAGATCGAATCCAGGGCTTCCAATCCACATGCAGGCGCTTAACTTTTAGACCAATGGTCTAACCTAGATAGGTTCATGAAATTTCAGTGAAATTCAACAATCTCTGCATCTCTTCAGTGACAGTTTTTGAAGTAATTCTTTTCAGTGAGTGAATAACTTTGTTACACTTAATGTTAAAAGACTGGTCTATATGAATGTTCTTTGGAGTAGAATATAAAACAAATGTAGACTAATCAACTTTACGAATGATTTTTACTAATTCCTCGAAACGCATTGAGTTTATGATTGGAAAAGATTAACACTGAAAAAGGAAAATTAGTATCATTCTACTTTTTCATTGAAACATAATTTATTTACTCAATGTTCAGATTATACTTATCAAAGTAGAAATAAAGATATTATTAATAACAAACACTTACTCAGGATACGGATCAGGAACATTTATACGTTTACATAAAATTTTATCAGGATGCCATTTTAAACGCCGTCTAGTTAAAGCTCCATAAGATTCTGTTGCAACAGCATGATCACGTGGTTCAACTGTATCTAAGCTCTAAGTGAATAAAAAGAATAGGGATTACATAAACAACGTATAGTCACATTTTGTTAAGAAAAATGAAAAAAACAATAAATTGATATAATTGTATAAATTAAAAGCCTAATGACATCATGATCTATTTATTTAACAAAAGAAATAATATCAACTTCATTTAGACACAACAATTTTAGACAAACAATGGTCTGTGAAAACTTGCAACAAGTCAACATCTAACACTAGTTCACATTTTAAACACTGCTTTGGTATTGTTTTTTCCAAGTCTGAAAAAACATCCCTCATTAATGACACCAATAATTAAGTAGTTTTTAATTTAAAGAAAATTAAATTAAGACATAAAGACAGAAGTGAGTGGTACGATAAGCAGATCTCTTTTTAATTGTACAATAATAATTAGATATACTTCTCAGATTGGTAATTTATATGTTTACTAATAACTGTTTCAGTGTATAAATGATAACTTGAAGAAAATTACCAATCTGAGTAAGTATGTAGTAAGGTTTATCAATAAAAATATAACACCTGAACATTTAATAACACTAGTGATTTTTTATGCCAAGATAGAAGATTCTATACACGAACGACAACTTCAAATGTGATACAGTTGCAGAGAAATAGGAAAATATTTTGAGGTCCTTCAAAATCGAAAGAAGCTTTCCAATGACCTAAACAAACAAGTACACCCACTTCTGATCAAATTGATGAGAGTTCTTCTAGGGAACTGCATGTTGGTTATTTGAAGCACACTCTTCATTAAAACATTTAACAGCATTATTCCATGTAGTCAAAAACTGTAAACCTGTCAACATTGGGTATCTAATAAAAACCAATCAACTATGACATAAAAACAACTTACCAAAGGTAGCGTGTTTTCGTGCATTTCTGGAATGCATAACCTTCATAAAATAAATTATCAATTATAAATACAAAAGAAACATATCCAACTGCCTCAACTAAGACAATAATTTCAGGTCGAACAGATTTTCGAGCTATCATACCCCAAACAAAATTGTATCGTTGTCTCTCTATAATCTTGTTGAATTTATATCATTTTAGAAATCGTCTCATCATTGTTATGCAATCTATTTTCAGAATCATTCTTTTTCTCAATTTAATTTCTATGACATTTTTAGCGCATTTCTCAATTTTGATAACAAGTAATTTTCTTAATTAAAAATAAAACCATTCCTTTGTTACTACATTCGATAGATTATTATTATTATTATTATTATTATTAGTAGTAGTAGTAGTAGTAGTAGTAGTAGTAGTAGCAGCAGTAGTAGTAGTAGTAGTAGTGGTGGTGGTGGTAGTACTATTACTAACAAATATATCATAGTTGGCTAATATAAAAAAAACTATGCACATTTGATGATTTTTTAAAAATGCCCAAAAAGTAATCACTGTGCTGAAACATTGTTTCCTCTTCCTTTCTCTCTATTGTTTTAATGTAATTAAATAATCAAGATAAATAGATTAATTTTAACTGAATATAGCTATGAAAAGTAAAGATCTCTATAAAACTTAAATTTGTTTGAGTGATAGGAAAATGAACTTACTTCAACTCGTGCTCGTTGAGCTTTCTCCTCTTCTTCAGTTAATTCTTTACTGATATCCATACAACCAGCAGAACGAAATCTTAAAGCTAATTTCGATGAGATCAACTGTTGTTTATGAAGTGGTAATTTATTTGATAATGGCAGTAGTCTATCAGAAGGATCAGAAGATATAGTTGATGCACTGGAGGTTGATGTTGAAGTTTGACAAATCATTGCATCATTATTCATATTCACTGGATCAATTTGAGAAGAATTATTAGTACTTGACATTTGATTCATTTTAATAAGCGTTTGAAACGAGTTAGCTTCACGTTCCTTCTCTTCATTGCTTAAATCCAATAGGGTAGAGCAACGATGATAAGCATCTTCATCTATAGTGGATAAAGAGTGAGGAAAATTTGTGATAATAAAAACATTTCAATGAATATAAAACTTGGTAAACTTTAAAGTATAGGATAAGACAAGAGAAAAAGATCAAAAAGCAATCGATATATTACTCGTAAATTACACAATTAAAATCAATCTTTTTATTCCTCAGAAAAAACATCAAATTTTTAAATTTTATAAATATAGAAAACAAAAATTGGACCAAAATAGTAAAATGTTTCGTTTGGTTTAAAATTATAAATCAATTAAGCTGTCATATGAACTAAAAAGTGCAGGAATTCAACACGATCCAGTAATATATTGATACACTTTACAGTGATAGTCCCCAAATGCATTGTACGGGGCTGAGAGTGAGGAGAAACTTCTTAAACCGCGCTTAAACGAGGTTGGTGTGTACGAAACAACCTACCTGGGAGAATAGGAAAACTATTTGCAAAACAATGATGCACGTGAGCTCAAGGGTCCTGGTCACCAGGCACCATGGAAGTGCATCACCTCAAGTCACTTCATTCCATTATGGGTTGGACCTCTAGGTCGAAAGCCCACCGATTGGTCCATTAAGAAAAACATCTGCTTAGATTCAGGCACTTGTGGAGTATCCCAGCTCAAATAAAAATTTAATGATAACTATTTTGTGTGGCATTTATATATTTTAGTGCTCCTTTGTATCAAAATTGGTATGTTTAAATAAATAAATATATAAATAAACACAATGATATGAAAGGATAAATGTCAAAAGGAGCGACAAAGTAAAGCATCAGTTGACAGTGCAATTATATATCAATATGAATTAATGTATTTATCAGGGAGAAAAAAATTGTTATCAATTCAATACAATAATATTGAATGAATAATATTCAGTACCACCAACATTCTGATATAGATTCGAAAAGTTGTCAATAATCTCAACAACTACTTAGTAATATTATTAAGAGAAATAACTCAGAAAGAAGTATTACGACCAATTTTACTTATAAAATCTATTGAACAATGATTTTGTCGAAAAACAAACAACGTAGAATTATTGTTGATCTGATTGTACTACTAGAAAGATCTGTAAGTGACTTAAATACACAACTATCATAATCCCTATTATTATTACTCTTAATATTGTTTTTATTATAATTATGGTCATTAAGCAGAATAACACTCCTATTTTACTTTCAACATTCATCTCTTGATTCTTACATTACTATACTACTGACCATTCATCAAAATATTTTGTTAGTTCCTTCTTCTCTTTTTATATATTATGCAACGTAGCAACTGCTTGATTTCCGAATAATTACTTGGATTATTATTAATCCTCTTTCTTGTAATTACTCAATGTTAATTTATAATCGATATATCATTACACAATTATTACGCAACGTATCAACTCGGTATTATTTCATTATTGTAAATTATATATATAATGTTGAAAGTAAAATAGGAGTGTTATTCTGCTTGATGACCATAATTATAATAAAAACAATATTAAGAGCAATAATAATAGGGATTATGATAGTTGTATATTCAAGTCACTTACAGATCTTTCTGATAGTACAATCAGATCAACAATAATTCTACGTTGTTTGTTTTTCGAAAAAATCATTGTTCAATAGATTTTATAAGCAAAATTGGTCGTAATACTTCTCTTCGAATTATTTATCTTAATAATATTACTGAGCGATTATTGTGAAATTGAAGAGAGAAACAGACAGAGAATGATAACGTTGAACCTTATATAAAAGTGGGCAGATTCACAATACCCCTCGTGATAATAATACTTTGATTGAGATCATCAGTCGATTGATGTTAGATCACCATTAAAAATTGAAAGAACTGGACGGCCGTTTCGTCCTTGAATGGGAATCCTCAGCAGTGCGCATCCAGGTCCCCGAAAGCTGTATTTGAACCCAGGACCTTAAGTTTCGCGCGCGAATGCTTAACCTCTGGACCACTGAGTTGGCATCTCATACTAAGATGAAGCAGCTGGCCAGTGCTTCCAGGTTTTTAATGGCGGTCTAACATCAAACGACTCATGATCTCAATCAAAAACTTAACACTCTCCACAACCCCATACTGGTTCATTTATTTATTTATTTATTTCAACACATAGATATTGGTACGAGGAGGCATCAAATGCATATGCGCCACATAAATCTCATTTGATATGTATAAGGGCTGTGATACTGCTCGGGTGCCCAAACCGAAGCAGGTGGTTTTCTTAAGAGGCCACACCCAGAGCCTTCGACCTGAAGGTCTGGTCCACAAGGCACTGGAGCATCGTAAGAAGATGTAGTCCCATGGTAGCCGGTGACCAACGATTGGTTCATACGCCATTCGTTCTCTCAGGATACTGGAGCCCATGTACACCATTGGTTTGGAATCAGGGTTTTCCAACTGCCCGCGTTGGACTCTCCATGTTCACCAACCCGGTTAAAACACTGGACATTCGCTTTTCGTCCTCTTAATTTCGTAAACAACACCCCCGCCACGAGAAGGCAATGAGTAGGAATTCCCTAGCAGAGGCTATATATGCGTAGCCATTTTGGGGCCCCCATACTGATAGTCACAATGATACATTGGTAATGAAATGGTCATTGAATAAAAACAGGACATAGAATGTAGAAAACCGGAATGAAGTAGATTAGGGATACTTGGTCACGATTTTAAGAGAGATAGAATACTCTGATATAAACAATCTGGAGAAAGTTTTCATTCAAGTGATTTACAGTGTGTTGAACATTTATTTCAAAGAATTCTTACTCATAACCTCAAGATACATGTAATGACAGATAAGTGAAAAGAACGACCGATGCTTAAATCAGGCTGGTGTGCATGGAGGGCTCATCCAACGAAGGCTCCAGGATGTTAAATCAACTAAAAGCATATACATGAACCTACTATGGAAGTGATTATATAAGTCTTACTACAATATCTTTCAGATATGACCTTTAGCTCAAAACCTAGGAAGTTGGCTCATATAATAAGAATATGACTGAAATTGGTATTATTATTATTCTAAGCATATAAAAATCAGGAAGTATTGAAAAGCTCTAGAATCTCCCAATTACAAAAATACATTAATCGTCTGGTGAACACCAAGCTTTGAGATTTCCTGGTCCCCTGATCCATGTAGAAATGGAAAATATTCGAATGACTTTCTCAAGTTCTAATATGTGACGAATACAAACAGACCTTCAAACTAACACCGATTACTAGACCACAATATTGATAAAGCCCATGATTTTCCAACTAAGAAAGATACCGTGTTGAAGAAAAGCTATCAGTTTATCACAAATATCAGGATTCCTAATCTGAAAAATAAGTTTAACAAGTATCATACTTAGTCCTCAATAAAAAATATATACACATATATATTTAAAAACATACGGGCAAATCCTCGACGAACAAGTACTTGGTAAGCCTCAAACCGTGCTTGTTTATTACTATCCGTTTTAAAAATCTTCAACAAACCAGCGGTTGGATTAGAAGTAGTAAAACCAGCCAGTTTATTTGAATTTTCAGATTGATTTAATTGTTGTTCATCTGGAGAAGTCTTTGACACTAGGGCTGGAACAGGAAGGCCCGCTGCTGCAGCCTTCAGACGAAGTTGTTGGATAGGATCTAACTTTTCATAAACTGAATCTAAAATTAAATTAAATTAAGCCAGTTTACAACAATCTGAGTGGCTTTACCGTTAGTATTTTCAATAAAATTGACTCTCTACTCTAATTTTTTTGAGAAAAAAATGAGATGATCAGAAATGAGAATGCATACACATACAGTATAAATGAACGAAAAAGTTATATGAATATAAGAGACAACTTAGATTAAAAGAATACAACATTTATAATGTTTTAATACAACAAGTTACCATAGATTATGAATGATGATAGGAAAGTATGTGTATAAAATATTTAAAATGATTCAACTGTTGTAATGACATTCAGTTTTGCCGTATTTTGTAAACTTTAGAAGATTTTTCTTCACTTTGTCCTCAGATATCATTATTACAATTGATATTATTTACATAAATCACATTAAATTCGTTCTTATATTAATAATTTTACCGGTAAAATATGAGTTACTTATGAGTAGTATAAATACCAAAGAAACTTCCACCAACCATTTGGTTATATGTTTTGAATACATCCTAGACATGCCATAATAAACCACTCAAATACATTTGATTACATTTGAATCACGTAGAGTACATGAAAAAATATCTGGTATCGAAAATAGAGAATCCATAGATTGAATCGCCATAACGGATAGGCAATCAGTAACAAAATAAAGTAAAGAAGTTCAGTGCATCCATTTACGGAGAAAAAAATCTCAAACGACAAATAGAAATATGAAATATTCTGGGTAATTAGCACTTAACTATATGGCTCAAACCCAATAAAACCACAAGAAAGAAAACTTTTTTACACTGATCAGTTATCATAAAAATCGTGTACAACAATGAAATACTTTTATCTATTTCAAGTTAACGTCGTCAATAATAGTTAGAGGCGGTCAAATTCTTGAAATCCATTTGTAACACTTATTTTTTTCGTACTTTATCTAGTACAATTTTGAATCCCTGTACGCTTATAGTTCACCAAAGTCCTAATATTGATTAGGCAACTAATTATTCTGTCTAGATTTATTTATAATGCTTTCTGAAATCGTGCGCCTTCTCGACAAACAGCCAAAGTTTTACGATTACATGAGAAATACAACTTTCACCGTTTCCGAACCCACTGAAAAGATTTCCCTTCCTTCAAATAGTGACAAAATTGTATTACATAATTTCCTATGGAGAGAAACCAAAGTATTGGTTGGAATATGAAAGTTGACATCGTATTCCCTAACAATAGAGAGCGATAAATAAAATAAACTTTACGAATTCTACAAAAACATAATTTGATGCATATACGATCATCACACCGAAACCTACCTTCTTGGAGTAAACGGGCTCGTGAAATAGCATCATGTTTGACATGAGGGTGATTGAATGAATTTGATTTGATACTTTGTTTATTATCACAAGTTAATATACACCGTGGATTAAAGACCGGAATGTAGCCTGGAGGTAAAGTCACCTGAACTGGATGAGTTTTGAATTCATTTTGTTTTGTTGATTCACTGCAAAATCCAGGCAAAGTATCTGAGGATGATTTGTTCAATTTTTGAGATGAACCTGACGATTCAAATATGACATCAATTTTGATTAACTGATTGTATTATTTCAAAAATTGGTACATGTATAAAAAAGTCGGCGAGACTAATTTATGAACGAACCAATCAGGTATAAGCCAACAGGTCTCGGACTTTGGTGTGAAACTCGTTCATCCATTTGGTTAAATAGAGTCGTGGTATTATAGCTAATGTCAGTTCGTGATGAAAACCCTAAATCCAATTCCTAACCTTAAACATCAACTGTAAATCCTAATTCGAATTCCTCACATTAATTTATAACCCTCATTTGGTCCTAATTATCAAGTGGACACTGCCAAGGTCAGTCTAGAGTCACTCAAAAGTCGTCCATAAATTATAGTCTCACCAAAAAATCTACTTACTTGTGCTATATCAATTCATTAGTAAGTGGATAGATATTGAAGTAACATATAAAGCTATGAGTATATGATAGTCGTTGATAATTTCTACAGATAAATGATAGATACAGTCGCATACACAGTGTATGACACCTACAGTTCACATTACTAACTATCGTACTTCATATGTGGACTGTAGGCGACATTAATATCAAATAGTGGACTTAAAACGAAAAAAATATTCTACTACCATTTAATGAGACTAATAGACATCGTCTGATACTACTCATAAGTAGTCCAAATATTTAGTTGCAAACAGCAGATTGCTCATTGAATTTAAGTGATTTCTGTGGTTGACATAACCACTAAATAATTCCATTGAGTTCGGATATAACATGGATTGCATGAACCCTCAACTGACAAGTACAGTATTAAATACTTACGATGTTGTGAAGGAGCAGTCCACCCATCAATAATTTTAGTACGTTCAGTAGAACTAGAATTAACTTGTGATTTCTTCTTCGTAGTAGATGACAAACGTCCAAGTCTAGCAGCCTCAATTTCAGCCTGTTCTTCATCTTCATCTTCGTCATCGTTTGATTCACCATCCCCTATTTCCCAATCATATTCTGCTAAACGATCTTGTTCGTACACATCAGCATCTTCTTCCTCTAAAGCACCTACACCGAAAGCATGGCCTAGAGAAGAGTATAAAAAACATATGATCAGGTGTATGTAATAAGTGTCCGGACACTATCTGAGAATAGTTAACTCATTGATTATTTTTATTATTTTCGATGAAGTTAACATTTGCAAGTTAAAACAGTTGATGATATGAAAAAATGGTGGATCAGTTTGAACTGTCAAACTAATTGACACTACGAAGAAACCACTAGATGACAAGAACAATTAGGATAAAGTAAGACGTGTTTCTTGACCTTAAACTGTGTAACTTTATGTTGATGGTTAATCCATTCCCTCTAACCAAGGTTGAACCTATTTGCGCAACTGACATCAACTTTAAACAGTATTTAAACACTAACTACTGATAATATGATTTCGATGAGGAAGACTAGATTTACCGCATTCACTAAAAATGACAAGCAATATCTTCATAGATCATCACAACGCCATCTAATCATCATGGGTTTTTCTTCTTTATTCTGCATTCACAATACCAAACGAAGGTCGATAAGTGAATAAGAAATAAGTATGAACTACATATGCTTCGGGCACATCGGTCAATATCGACTCAGGATTTTAATTGCTTTTACCTTTTTTCCTTAATTATTACTCCTGTAACTAAACAAATGACATCAGCTAATAACCTACTTCACGACAAAGAAAACAGCTCAATGTAATTATGTTTTATATAAGATCAACTATTTATATTATGCACAAAAAATATGTACATTACACCACATTTTACCTACCGGTTATGCCATGACGCTTTAATCCACTTTTAAGATCAAATTCATTTTCGTTACGAATTTTCTGTTGCCTGTGTAACAGTGCACTGACAGACTCTTCTGGATGTCTGTTTGACCAAATATCCTCAGCATCATTTGAGTTAAGCTTACGCCGACCCATAGCGACTTCTGGATCCAATGGTGAATACCCCAAACCAAATGTATTAGTTTTAGCCACAAAATTAATTTGAGCGAACATTGTAGGACCTTATACGCAAAAAACAACAGTGATTATTTTCATATTTTATATAATAACGGCTGAATGTACAGACTAGTGTTCAGTGATACAACATTGTTCAATTATATTTGAAACTTCCTTCGGACTACAAATCCAAGAGGGCTACCAACATAACCATTGACCACCCCATTCATCATTAGTGTGAATTTGTCACAGACGACACAATGGGGTTACAACTACAATGATATGATCTTTCAATCGCTGAATGGTCATACTATAAAGATATCTGGATGCAAAAAGTAAGAAGTGACGAAACTAGATTCTCCACTTGTTGATATCTATCAGCAATGAGTCTATGACTTCAAGACAGCTGAGAATCTTCCTAGAATTCAAATTTGCACCATCCAGTAATACAGTCATAGCGCCTACGATTAAATGCCTACAGTTACATTCAGTATCCTACCCTGTAAATCAGAACTGATAAACTATTAAATTTCACAAAGAAGACATCTAAATTTTGTAAAACGATATTATTTACTTTTTTGGAATTTAGTAATCTCTGGAGAGTAAGAGATCAGCCCTAACCCAGAATGATACAACTGAGGCATTCGAATTGTAAAGAACTTAAATTTTGTCAGAAGTTCAAGCAAATCTAAATAATAGCAGTTCACGTGTGTTCTGAACATTGAAACAACTAACTCCATACATTTAACATGATGAGAATAATTTATTCCTAGCTCCATATATCACAACTTAACTGATACTGGTTAAAACCACAAAATAAGAGTCCTACAAATATGTTATATCGTACTTGAATCTTTCTCTCCACCAAAACACTCATCAGTGCCTGTGATAGATTCCGTATCGTCTGGAAATTTTCTCTGATCCGTATTTTCTACAGTATCATCATTCAGGGGAGTTGAATGAGCATTTTTCCACCCAAGACGTCGTAATAACCTCTCAGCTAGTGTACCTCTGTAGTTAAATAAATGCACAAAACAATGATGTTAACTAGACTACGTTGAGATTTTTTAAGAATGTTAGTATCGCTTTAATAATTAGACATAACATATAAAAGCAGAATAGTTTATTAATAAATCAACTATAAGATCAACAGTGTTTTCGTCGGAATTCAATTAGGGTGGGAAATATGATTTCTATGATAACAGATAGGACGAAAACTTTGAGGAATCCCGTATGAAGTAACACCCTTTGTACCACATTATTAGTGTTTGGAAGAAAAAATAAACATAAAGCAAAGGATGTCAAATTCAATGAGAAAGACATGAATGAAAACGCAATAAGTACGGAGTAGAACAAGACAATGGGTAGAAGGATCGCCTGTTGAGAGGAATCACAAAGAGTTTATATAATACATATACCTAGCCCTTGATCAGCCATTTATATCTTGGGGTGAGTTCTGAAATCCAAAATGTCTTCTCGCCTGGTCATTAAGTATCCGACCTACACCGAGCTTCGATTTACTGAAACTCTTTTCTCCGTCTGACGACTAACAATCTCCACACCACATACTGCAACATACTACTTACAAACAATCCTGCGAGTACTGTCCACCACAACGGGAATACATGTATTCAACTTATAACGGTTGATTATAAGCCATAGTTCAAAGTTTTTTGATGGTACTGTAAATCACACTGAAAAATTCAACCACGGAAACCGGGTGTTCTTGCAAATGTTGAGAGCTTCTTGTCAACTGACTACAATGCCAGGCAACACAGCTTTTCAGAAAGATTGTAGCTGGGCATGTGCGATACCATTACCAACCATCAGAACCTTATCAATTGGTTAACCCATTTCTACACCTAATATTAATATTACACAATATGTTAGTGGTTATTTCAAGAGACTGACGACTGTATACCTCAATATATATATATATATATATATATATATACCTTTAGCACCCGAGAACCACATTTCTCACCCGGATCTTGCAGGCTGCTTCAAAGTATCCTCATCTTTTAGTAACCTCTGTGAAACCAAACCAGCTTTTAGTATCCACGTTGAGATCTCGTTAGTTTTCAGATCATAAGAGTTTATGAGATCCTCAATATAAGTAAAGCAGTTGATACATACATTCATTTTACTCTTTCTTATTACATTAAACACTCATGTTGACAAGTCCCAAGATAATACTTCATATTTGGGGTAATAAATAAATCTATAATATTCAGAAAACTCAAAATTCTTTCCGTGTTCATTCGATAGAACTATGTCAATTGTGTACTACTAGCTGATAAGTGTCTAAGGTAGACTAACATTTCAAAAGTTAAGAAAATAGTTTTATTTTTGGTATCACATGAGAACTTTGGGTGAAAATGAGGAAAATGGATACCTTCGATTCATACTACTCCAAACCCAACCGAAAGTGCTCGAGTAGGATTATGTGTTTTAACATGTATAATGACAGATACTTCCACAAGACCTGTCAATCAAATGAGACAAATGTTGCCTTAGGGATGAAGAATGAAAGTTCTTCTAGAACCTGAAATACACAGATTTGATTGACACATCCATAATAAAAACATAAATCTGTCTAACCTTTTTGATCTCATGTTTCTCTACCTCCAGTTAAGAATTAAATGATGATAATGATTTCGAATAACTATCAACTTCTACCTAGGATCACCGCTTTTTCATGGATTATAGTAAATATTATTCTGAAAATTAATTTCCAACTAATTTTCGTACAACTGAACAATATAGAAGGTTAAGACATTGAAACATGGAAAAGAGTAATCTCACCTGGTAGCTACAATTAATCCTTTCAAAAGTGAACCAGCCTGTGGAATCACAGACTGATCACCTAATGCTAGTTGCAATGTATCACGTACATGAGTGTCATCAAATTCATGAGTCGGTCGAATACGCCTTGGAGCAATACCGAATTCTCCGAAATCCTAAGAGGTGATTACAAAAAAATATTCACATTAGTAGATAACATGATAACTTAATGCAGTATTATCCATCCATATAATATTCGTTTCTCATAAGCAATGTGTTTCATAAATTGCTTGATTACTGAGTGGTATTAATCGATTAGATATGTGTGCCTAGAAACAGGTACTGATTGTGCTTAGATGCTCTATCAATTTTTACATGCTTGTGGAGGGTCAAGAATACATATTAAGAAGATACCCTGCTCTACAATATGAATAAAAGAGGTTGTTGTTAATGACAAGAGATATCTGATAACTGACTCGTGATACCACGAAGGAAGTGGCGAAACGTAAGTTGAAATTCGCTTGTTGTTGTTTTACTTGTATCTTCTCATTGTTATTTAGGACTGTAATTGATCAGTCTTATGTTGGCATATGTGCATCCTGTGCGGATTGTCTCGATATAGCCTTAAGTCACAAGCTTTTTAAGCAAAGATGGATAGTGGCTAGCAGTGGAATCCAGGACGCGCGTTTCGTCCTATTTGGGATTCGTCAACGCTTAACCCGCAAACCACCGAGCTGGCAACCAGTGATGTAAATGTGACATAGAGAGTCAATCAAAAGCGGTCTAATGAGAAGGTCAATCGATGGCAATCAGAAGTGACCCAAAGGACAAATGCATTTTATTAGCTAAGGAACGGATCAATTTCCTAAGGATAAGAGTGGTATATACACGAATGATTATTTATACATTTTATTCGGCAGTCCAATAAACCTTTTCACTCAAGTAGTCAGCTACGGAGGAAGGGTTAGCGCGTAGCACACTGTGTAGCAGTATTAGATTTCGGACATCGCCCGTCACAGCAGTCTCCGGCGAAGTCATTTTTTCAAACCCATGCAAAAATAAACAAAATTCCAGAATGCAGATTTTATTAGATCAGCTTATATCTATATTGCAGCAACAGCAAATAAAATTTCAAGCATCACAATTGAAAGTGATCGAAATGATGGCACAAAATTTGTCAATTCATAAAATTTCAGTACAGGTTTCCAAACTAATGACTCAGACCCCAACGACTTGAACAATGGCGATGATGAATAGGCTTTTCGAGCAGTTTTATTTTTCGTAAACACTAGTTACAGACAATGGACCTCAGTTCGCATCGGAAATCTTTTCGAACTTCTTAAAGAAGGCAATCACACACACACACTCGGTCACAGCCCTACCATCTCCAAACAAACGACCAAGCTGAGCGTTTTTTGGATACCTTCAAGAAAGCTCTCATTAACTCACAAGGGGAGGGCACGACAGAGGTCATCCAGAATTTCCTGAGAACATACAGAATAACCACGTTTCCAACCTCACCCAACAGTATCTCCCCTGATGAGTCAATATTTGGAAGGATGATTCGAACTTCATCTGATAGCATATATCCACAAAGGAGAAGATAAGATTATAAACCAAAGGCGAAAACAATTGATTTTTGGTCTCCTAATGGGTTGCTAGTGTACGTAACTATCGACATTGGGTACCTACATAGGTAGCGGGTGTCATCGTAAAAAGAGTCGATGACGTGATGTACGAAATTGATGTTCCAGGTAAACGTCGGACGTGATATGTAAACCACTTCCGTAACAGACGATCAAATTCAGCTAAAGAACCTCCTAGTTCGAACTTGCAACTATCTAATTGATACAATCAGTTTGGAGCATCAGGATCAGCGCGGGCGAAGTGATGGCCAGACCCCAAGAAAACCGTCATCAAGACGACATTTTTTTCAACGCCTTCAGTAAAATCCAAGGAGCAAAACTTATTTTTCGGGAGGGAAAGGTGGTATGGAAAGCTAATCAGAAGTAGCCGAATGAGAAGGTCAACCAATGCCAATCAGAAGGACGAACGTATTTCCTCAGGGGCAGATATATATATATATATATATATATATATATATATATATATATATATATATATATATATATGGGTATTTGTGTATTATATTCACCAGCCCAATATACTTTCACGCCCACTCTTGTGTTCTCGCTCAAGTAGTCAGTTACGGAGGAGTTTGTGCGTAGCACATCGTGTATCAGTACCAGATTTCGGACACCGTCCGTTACAACACAATGCTTAACTTCAACCAATCCGCGATCTTGAGCGACAATATTCTATTGTCTTCGGAGGGTCACTGTCTTGCACTCGACACGGCTTCACGCTAGAACCCTGAGGATTCTCGGTGTGGTCTAGAAGTTAGACGAGACCGAAGACGCTCGGTTCGAATTGCGAGATTGTGGGTGCGCACTGCTGAAGGGTCCCATACTAGGACGAAACGGCCGTCCAGTGCTTCCAGGTTTTCAATAATGGTCTAACATTGATCGGTCCATGATTTCAATAGAATTCAACAATCTCAGCAACCCAGAACTGAAAGTTTAAGGAGTATTTAACCCGTCCAATCAAATCGTTAAAGATATGTTGATAAACAAATCATACTATTGAAGGACTATAATATGTAGTTATTCATTATTTATTGAGCTCTATCTTCAATAATCTGCCTTAATATGTAGACCTTCATTGATAATCATCCTGAACCAAACTGTAGCTGTCACCTTGGCATATTGATTAGGTGTGCCTGTCGTAATGACCTAATCAAGGTATTTTCATGGAACACGCTGCTTAGGATGCCATTATGCTAGACAAGTCAGTAAACGTTATTAATCAGATACAGATAGTCCAAAAACTATTACGTAAATGTGGAACCCATCACAAAAGAGATGCACTAATATACTTTAAAGACTCAGACATTTTCAATCAACCTCGACTTTCGAGAAATCCATATTTAACAGATTAAGTAGCTGCAGCAGAATGTTACTGCTAGAATTTTGTCCAAGTAGAGGGCCATATTAAATTGACTGAATAAAATCTATTGGACTGAGTACTAAATAAATCTTACTTCATCATCCATAAAATCCTCTGGATGTTGGGCAAACTTTTCATCTAAATCCCTCTGTCTATTTTTACGAGAGGAGTGGAAGCTTTTAGGTTTAAAACCTGAAAAAATAATCATCAAAAACCAGTAAAATCGGTGAATTAACAGGATTATATGATTGTGAATATAATAAATCTGAAAACAGATATATACAACATAAAAATTAAAGAGCATATTGCAATCTTTTTATTTCAATTAGCCTTTAAAGTATTCATTTTTCTGAAAAATACATTAAACGACAGCTGTGGGTTAGACGCATAACATGAATTCATACTAAACAATCAATTCATTTTTCTTTCTTTAAATATACAAGTAGCGCTGAAAATCCTTCAGAGATCAATGATCACTATGAAATAATAATAACCACTGTTCAGGGTCAAGTTATTCACTTGGTGATCAAACCTGCCAGGAATACAATGTTCATATCAATTAAACGTCATATGTAACAATCGCCCAAAAATAGTAGGCGAGATTACAAAATAATCAAGACAGTGTTGCCATACAACTCCACCTGTAGTTTTTCTACGACTAATGCCGGTCCCAAGCCCTCACAAAGGAGGAGGGTTGAGGTTGAGCATGGGGTCGGCAACCCCATACACCAACTTCCTTGATTATGAGAAAGCGATTGACAGTGCCAATGGGAGAAAATTATAGAAACTTCTTCGACACTATGAAGTGAGTAGCTGAAAAGATTGTCAACATCATACGAAATTCATACGACAAACTACACTATAAAGTCGTTCATGGAGGACAGTTGACAGATGCATTCCAAATGAGAACCGGTGTCAGACAAGGCTGCCCACTCCCGCCCTTTTTGTTCCTCCTGGTGGTCGATTATATTGTGAAAACCTCCATATCAGATTGGGAGCACGGAATAAAATGGGTAGGTTGAATGCAACCAGACGATTTGGACTTAACAGATTACCTGGCCCCTCTATCCCATACACATCAACAAATGCAGGTCAAGACAAACAGTGTAGCAGCAGCAGAAAGCCTCAACATACACAAGGGAAAGAGAAAGATCCTCAAATACAACACAGAAAACACCAACGCAATCACATTTGATGAAGAAACTCTGGAACAGGTGGAATCCTTAATGTACCTAAGAAGCAACATCGATGAACAAGGAGGTTCAGATGCAGACGTAAAGGTAAGGATTGGCAAAGCAACGAAAGCATTCCTACAATTGAAGACCATATGGAACTCAAAACAACTTTCAACCAATATCAAAGTCAGAATCTTCAATACGAACATCAAGACAGTTCTACTGTACTCAGCTGAAACTTCGAGAACCACAACAACCATCATCAAAAAGGTACAAGTGTTTACAAACAATTGTCTGAGTAAGGTACTCAATGTCTGTTGGCCGGATACCATCAGCAACAGCCTACTATAGAAGAGAACAAACCAGCTTCCAGCTTGGGAGGAAATTAGGAAAGGACTCTAGAAGTGGATAGCATACATATTGAGGAAAACATCAAACGGCATCACGAAGCGAGCGCTAACTTGGGATCCTGAAGGGAAACAGAAAAGAGGAAGGTCGAAGAACACACTGCATTGAGAATTGGAAGCAGACATGAAAAGGTTGAAGGGCAACTGGAAACAAGTGGAAAGTATTGCCCAGGAGAGAGTTGAATGGCGAATGCTGGTGGGTGGCCTATGCTCCTCCACGAAAGGTAAGAGGAGTAAGTAAGTAAGTGTTGTCATACAACTCAAACTATGATTTCCGAAAATCGTATAGAAAAAAGTCACTTAACAGTATACGAAAGCAAGTAACTTCTGGATTTACCCTCTTTAGACCCAACTGAATTGAAATATCCAGCAGAAAATCCTCCAGTGAATGCCCCGTGAAACCTCATAGGTCGACCCCTTTCATTCAGTACGCGGTTTTCATAGGCGGATGGAATAGCTTTACGTTTACCCAAAGCAAGGCCACGAAATCTGCTTTGCTCTAATAACAAATGACCTTTATGAAATCACAAACAAACCATCTTCATCATCACTAAAAGGATCGCCATACGCGACAAACGAATATTCTTCTGGGTCAACTGGTGAGGACATTGTATGATAAACGCAATCCACTGAAGTTCAAATTCTCATACCTATAGATTGTGAGTAACAGTAACAGAATCAATAAAAAATACACCAAAAACGTGTGCTTTTACTCATTTAGTCCTTATTGTATACAAAAATAAACCTCGATACTACTTTACTTACTGGTTTCCAGACTTCTTTAAACGAAATATAGTGTGCAGCTACAGAATAGCAGAAATAAATGTCATTAGACTGATGAGTGAATCGTGATTAAATCAAGCAGTTTATAAGGACTTGGGAGTAGGTTTACACTGCTCTCCTGCTATGGCTTGAGTGGCCAATTACTAAGAGTAACATAGTTTCAGATTGGGTATAAGTGGTATTTATTAATGAGCGTTGACTCAAAGTAGAAATTGCTAGAAACTTTGCAAGTTTTTTATTTATTTGAACACAAATATTGGTACAAGGGGGCACCAGATATATATGCTTACCGCAGTTAAGCAACTTTGGGCCCGGTCAGTACTTACATGGGTGACCGACTGGGAATGCCAAGTGTCACCGGCTTTCTTTGACGACCACACTACGTTGAAAACTTTGTAAGTACTCAGATTATTCACTTTATATTTACTGGGATGAAGGTTGTGCTCATATCCTCATTAAAAATGAAATAAAACCTATAATACGAAGAAAAACTGAATGAGTATGGATTCATCCACGCTCAGCAAACAGTTAGTTTATGCCACAAGAATCAGTGCAGCAGCATCTACCGCACTGATAGATGCTCGAAAACTCATTCCATCTGGATTTGAACATAACGAAGAGCGGATTCAGATTAAGCACAAGCTGAAAAGAAACCTACGCAATGATCGCGAACAGTGGTGGGTAGCGAAAGCAAGAGAGATGGAAAAGGCAGTGGCAATAGGCAATAGCAGACAATTGTTCAGACTTGTTAAGGAAACCGGAATTAGGAACCCGACCGTTAGCGAAACAATCTCAGAGAAAGATGGACATATTATTCATTCTCAATCCAGGAGATTGGATCGATGGGCAGAACACTTTAGGGATCAGTTCAACTGGCCTTCAGCCACACTTCGATTTCCCACGATCTCCAGTCGACCTGAATGGCAAGTTGATGTAAGTCCTCCGACTCTTTACGAAGTAGAAAAAGCTATAGGAAATCTGAAGCGAGGGAGAGCAGCAGCCCCTGACAGGTTTACTCCTGAGATTTTTAAGGATGGTGGTCCAGTATCAGCAGCAAGATTGACTGAGGTGTTAGAAAGAATTTGGGAACTAAACGTAATCCCATCTGACTCTGGTTTTAATCACTGATTGTGCCAGTCTATAAGAAAGGACAAAAGTCCTCTTGTGACAAACACAGAGGAATCAGTTTGACTAATATAGTGTCTAAAATATTAGCTTCAATAATACTTCGACGCCTAACTAAAGCACGTGAAGAGCAGACTAGAGAAAATCAGGCTGGTTTTCGACCTGGACGTGGTTGTATAGACCAGATATTCACACCACGTTGGGTCCTAGAACATAGACACACATTTAGGCGCCCCCCTCATTCGACTCTGTTGATCCTGAGGTTCTATGGCAGTGTTTGTCACTGAAAGGGGTACCAAAAAAGTACATTAACCTTATAAAGGATCTCTACTCGAACACAACTGGTCGAGTGAGAGCTTATGGCGAACTGCCATCAGAATTGATTACCTCAAGTGGTGTTCGTCAGGGCTGTCCACTCTCCCTATTCTTATTTAACTTTTTCGTTGACGTGCTTTTAGAGATAACACTCTCCTCATCTAAATTTCCAGGGGTTGAACTTCTACCGGGAGATTCACTTTTTGACCTAGAATATGCCGATGACATAGTTCTATTTGGTGAAGACGCTGACAAAATGCAGAGTCTTCTGACCACTCTAAGCAACAGTGCAGGCATGTTCGGAATGCGATTCTCCCCCTCGAAATGTAAAATGTTGCTTCAGGATTGGGTTTCATCGACACTCGAACTAATGATAGAGAGTGAAGTAGTTGAGCGTGTCGACCTCTTCACTTATCTTGGAAGTCTCATCGGCTCTTGTGGTCTGGTGTGTGACAAAATCTCAGCACGGATACAGAAGGCTCGACTAGCTTTTGCCAACTTGCGTCATTTACGGAGTAGGCGAGATATCCGTCTATCAACCAAAGGAGGAGGTTACTGTACAGCAAATCGTTCCGTCCTACTTTATGGCTGTGAAGCATGGTCGATAAGAGTAGATGATATTCGTAGGTTACTAGTATTTGATCATAGGTGTCTTCGAAATATTGCTCGTATATCCTGGGACCATCGAGTAAGTAATGCAGTTGTTAGGAATCGGGTACTAGGTATGGATGGCAAATCCATTGATGAAGTGGGGAAACTTCATCAGTTGAGATGGTTGGGACACAAGTTATGTATGCCCAACGACCGACTGCCTCGACGTGCGATATTCAGTAGTATAGGAGTAGGTTGGAAGAAAGTTAGGGGCGGCCAGACTAAAATATGGCACAAGTGCATGAAGTCACTGACAAGTGGACCAAATTTATTTCACTAGAATATGCTCCGTGAAAAGCATCTTCAAACACTAATCTTTCTGATTAGTGTTTATGCTGTTACTACATCTACCACAATGGGATTTGAGTCGGCAATTGTATCTGTGTGGTAATTTTGTATGGCGACTCGAACTGATGTACGCAGATACGAAATTCTACGTTGTTACTGACTGACTGAGTATGAGAAGTATGGTAGAAATTGTGATATTGTTTATAGTTCATTATAGGTATCTTCATATGATCAAACTATTTCGTTAAACGTCATATAGCTCTGTTTCAGGTTGACTGTTTTCTAAAAGTCTACTCTATTTTTTAACTTCACATAATATTTAGATTAGTTTTCGTATATTCAAAGCGAAAGTGAATAATGTTACAGTTTATTCTGATCCACTTGAAGAAATATTTTGAAGGAAATTAAAACAAAACGAACTAAAATTGTTCAATCACTTGAAAATGACTCAATTGAAATTAAATCTATCTAAAACTAAATATTGCGATAGCCTAAGTCACTACCTATGTGGGAAAGAATTTGCTGAATTGTAAAATTTTCAAAATAATAGGCAGAAAAATTGATATATTTGTGCGGCGCAGACGTATTTGGCGTCTCCTTGTACCAATGTTCATGTTTAAGTACATGACACTTAGAAAAAAGCTTCTGCTTTAGGACAGGATTTGGAATATTTATATATGTGCCATAAACCTCATATCAAGTCATATTTAACGTTTAGGTTTAACTATAAATTTAAAACTTTACATCTGAACCTCGACATTGATACACAAACTACAAAATTTTGCGAGCTCTAATTATTAATTTCAATCCAAACCATAATATTGAACCTAAATCCCAGATTTACCACTGTAAGTGATATGTATCTATATGCACTAAGTTCTGGTCAGACGAAAAGACTGAGCCTTCAGGAGTAGCTCAAACTTGCCACTAAAGTTATTCTGTTACGTAAGCATTGAAGAGTTAAAAAAGGCTACTGGTGTCCAAGTCAAAAGTGTTTTTGATGCAGGAGAAAACAAAAAGAAGCGTAGGTTAAGCTGGAAGATAGAACAAGAGAAATAGAGCAAACGACTATATAAGGATATAGGATATTCTGTTCAGTGGATATGCACTGACATCGAGCGATGAAACAAAACTGATAATTGGGACTAGAAATTGACGACGTTATGTTTCGAGCGCGCCACAACTGGTCAGGCTCAAGCTTACCATACTCTTGTCCCAGTGACCTTGAGCAACTCAGCTAACCTTGAACGAGTCGAAAGCCCGCAATTAGACAAACTGAAGACTCAATTGACAATAAGCAAACATCAAGAAACATGATGTAAAAAGTCAAGGGAATTGCTGAAAACCCAAATAATGAACAAGACATTTCTCTCATTACACGCTAGATGTGAAATTCTGTCTTACATTCTAAGCTGATTTGGATTATCTTAAGCAAGTGACAAAACCGAGATCATGAAATGAAACACAGAGAACACCAACCACCCGCATTTATGGAAAATCTCTGGAATGGCTGAGAACCTTCAAATACCTTGGCAACATCCTCGATGAAAAAGGAGAATCTGATGTAGATGCAAATGCAAGGACTGACAAAGCAAGGACAAAGCAAAATCTGTAACAAGACTTTCAAACTCAAAAAATAAGTAGGAAGAATACCCCAGACATGAGTAATGAGGTCTTGTGCTTAAAACAGAGTTAAGCATAGTTGTACTAGGGTAGCGATGAACGGAAAATTAACACATAACCTTTGAACCATGCAATTGAATTTTACGTTTATCGGAACACTAAAATCAAAAGTAATATCCATTCACCACCGCGCCACCGTAAAATACCAAGCATAATATAATATATCGCGTATGAAATAACATTGTCAATACAACCATAATATAAGTGGGTATACTTGGCACATCAACAACATCAGCCGTAACATAAACCGGACTAAACAGAACTCTGGTTAAAACTCCATCAACTGTGGCATACAGAGATGATCAACTGGAGCAGGTCCTGTCAATGGAGCAAGATCTTGACCTGTAGGAAGTATTATTTCAACCATCTTCGGTTGTTTTTAAGTCATGACATACTGTTGCCTGTGGGTCTATGTGTTCCTGCATGCATGGAAGTGATGTATTGATGATAGAATACTGGCAACTACTGCCATGTATATTAGCACAATCTTTTCAGAGTTAAGTTCCTAGACCCAAGAAGAAGTTCCCATAGCGTTCTCCTATACACACTGTCAAAAGCTTTCTCATAATCAAAGAAGTAGGTGTATAGTGACGAGTTCCGTAAAACTGATTGTTTAGCGGTGGTCTGTAGTGTCGCGCTTTGGTCTGTGCACGACCGACGGGATCTGATCTGTTGATCTCAAAGTTGAGCGTCTACTGAATCTTTCATACGATTCCACAACACTGTTGAAAACCTTTCCTGGTACAAATAGTACTGTGATTCCTCTGTAGTTCTCACATTCGCTCAGATCTCCTTTCTCTAGTATCTTCATGAGATGTCCTTGTTTCCGGTCCATCGGCACTTGTTTTTACTCTCAAATCTTCCTGAACAGAGTTTGAAACATGTTTACAGTCACTTCAATGTCTGGATTTAATGCTTCAGCTGGTATATCGTCAGGTTATGCTGTTTTCCCACTCTTGACTTTTTTTATGGCCATCCTGATTTCTTTGATCGTTGGTGGAGTGATAGCTATAGGAAAGTCTGTGTGTGCTGCTTCGATATCCGGTGGACTCAATGGAGCTGGTCTATCCATGAGTTCCTCGAAGTGTTCCGCCCATCTGTCTCTCTGTTCTCGAATTTCAGTGATTGTCTTGCTATCTTTATCCTTGACCGGTCTCTATGGTTTACTATATTATCCCGTCAGTTTCTTCGTCGCACTTTGCTATGATCGACTGCAACCTCTCATGGAACTGATCTTTACCGTTGTTGTTGGTGGTGGGTACATAACATTAGATAACATTCATTGTAATTCCCTTCTTATTTGTTTAAATTGATTCTTCGATCATCCTGGATCCATGAGATTCCCATCCTATAATTGAATTTCGCGCTTCTTTGGACAGTATCATAGCAACTCCTTAAGTGTGTGGAGCATTTTTCCTTCGTGAACGGAGTACATCAGCAACTATACTGCATCTAGCTTTTGCTATCCACCGGGTTTCGCGGATTCCGAGGGCTGCCAAGATGTATCTACTTAGTTCCGTCGACATTTGACTGATCATTCCAGTCATCCACATAGTCTAGACGTTCCATACACATAAAAAAGTTTTACTCTGGTTGTTAGAAATAAAATCCACCTCGTGACAACACATTGTACTCACCATTGTATATGCTATACTTTAAACTGTATTTGGATACTATAGCTCATTTAATTTCTGAAATTGCCTATCCGATGCGGTGAGTCTGTGGTGGTTTTCGGTCAGTATTTTTTATCCAAAAAGTTGTTTCACATATTTGGTCATGAAGCACCATAGCAATCTTACATGGTAATAAACTTTCAAACTACTTATATCTGCACCCCCAATTTTAACCAATACATGCCTTCAGTTTATATATGTACCGCATGCCCTGCCCACTTTGATTTTTTGATGCTAATTGTAGAGTTCTAAATGAGGCTATCTTTCCGTGTAATATATATGTTAAATTTTACACAATGTGCACCTTTATGTTCTATATTGCCGCCACACATGTACTGACATACATACTACATCTCTAGTACGATCTTTCTGCCATTCCCCCCTCTCGTTTTTGATAACTCTAATAATCCTGACGTTACATTCACTCTTGTTTTAAACATAGGCTTTGATTTCCTGACTATCTTCAGCGTTCGACATTGATCTTTTCACCCATTTCTATTTTCAATATTTTGTTCAATCCATTTGCTATTTATCACTTTCTTATCATGCCACAGAAGAAAACGAAGGGCCCTGTTTCTGGGCGTCCAGACAAACGTAGGAAAACGAGACAATCTAGCACTACTACCGGCACGAGTTCCGACTGTTTCAACGAGACTAGCTACTCCGTTCATTCAGAAGCAGACAAGCTTATACTTGTCGAAGACTCTAATAGTAAACAATGATGATATTCACAGCTGCAGCCATATGTGTGATATAAAAAGTTGCAAGTTGATATGAACGAATCAAATTAATGGCATAAATAATTTCATGGTTTGTGTTGCTCCAGAGGTATTTGAAAGAACAAGACGGACTAGCAATGCAATTGCGTTTAATATACCGGACGCAAATGCTTTTAAAAATATCCAGTCTAGTCTGCATAAAGCCAGCAATATGACACGTATATTATGTGTGTGAACAAGATCGAAATGAAGTCATCCTGGTATGCACTCACCGATCTTGTTCAAATTCAGCTTGTCTGTAGACGCCAACGAGTTTCTAACTTTCTACAATTCATTGAAACAAAGATTTTCTGGGATATAAGATTCCTCCAGATAGAACACCATGCCAGCGAAAACCATAAAGAGATGCTTACAGACCACCGGCGTCAAACTCCCAAACGCATCATAATCTTAATGGTCACAAAAGCAAGTCCGATTCTAAGAGGACAACTAACTTTACAAATATGCCACCATTGATAAAATCCCCTGAAACTTAAAAACTTGAAAATCCACAAGAAAGTAATCTCGATGCAGGTAGTCTTGTAAAATCATGGTCTACTATGATATTAGTACTGCTCTGATAATAGACCTAATCCTAAAATTGTACCTATGTCATGATGTGACTGCCTAATCTGTAAGATCTTACGTGGAAGTCACACCATTGTCTACACTGACTCATCGTATAGTAACAATTGCCACTATTTAGTGGAGAACACATTCAGGCTGGAGATAGAACAATATATTTAATATCAGTAGAAGCAAGTTGTACAGATCGACCACGCCTGCAAGGCCAAGACATGCCATCCAAACAATCCGAATTCATTCAATTCGTTGTTTCTGCCTTCTCCATCGATAGGTTTTTCTCTGCGTTAAATATCGGATATCTATTTTCCCAGCTGTCTCGTGTTCAGCTTTGAGGATTGTGTGGTTGGGGCCCAGTGCCACTGCACTACCCTCTCACCAGAATCAACGTGATGTTGGTTCGATACCAAATTGGATGGGATTGTCGCGCGCCGGAGGTTACCAAGATTAATAAGAATCCCCGCGTTTTAGTATTAATATCTACAAACATCTTATGGGTACATAAGCGTTGTGAAGAAACCACTTAAGGTTTCTTCAAAAATGCAATAATACACAAGTTTCAATAATGTTAGCATTATATTTGCCATATTTGAAAAAAGAGAGTAATAATAATAGAATAATAATAAATCAGGTTCTGTGTAATTGAGAAGTATATTGAATTGAGTTTAAAGAAGGAAAGGAAGAAAATAATGGAATAGAAATAAAGGAGACGTAAAATACGCGAATAGTTTAATAGGCGTGTTTAGGAACACAGAACAAAAATAAACGACTATATATGTGTTGTCGAATTAGTAACAAAAATAAAATAGAAAATAATCAGGAAAAAATAACTTATTTTTGCAGTAAGATATGACACTGGAATAAATGTTTGTGCAGTCACAGTTTGGAGTGATGCTACGAAAGTCTGAATTAAGTGAAAAGGATAATGAAATATCAATATTTATGAGTCATATATGAATAGTGAAGATAAAATGAGCCTGAGAAGTTCATTTAAGTGTAACATAAGCTATTGTCTTAATTGCAAACTTCGTAATCTTATGAATAATATTTATTTAGTAGGAAAAAAGAGAGAAAAGAAATGAATATCTAGTGAAAGGGTTCAACCATGATAATAAGATTGTAATAAGCATCGACCTCTGAAGTAAACCAACAATTTAGAAAACTAAAATGAATAAATAAAAGAAAATAAATTCTATGGTGCACTCAGATAAATACATGTAGATTTATGTAATAGTATACAGAGTGAAACCGGTTATTAGTATAAACATTTGTGTAATAATAATTAAGAGGGAGACTATGAAAGTCACAATCAATTTCAAAGGACAATCAGGAATTAAATATGTTTAGCAGGATGAGAAGAGATAAACGAATATCTAATGTATCGAGGGACCAATAATGATATTGATAATAGTAATAATTATAGGTACGAACATAACCAGAATTCATATATTAAGATGAATAGCGATAAAATAAAAAAGACGTGAAAAGTTTCAAAGGTTACATTCTGATTTTCAGTTAATTAGATAGGTGGCGGAACTTGTTAATATAAATCATTATTGAACACATTG